CCCCAAAACCCCAAAACCCCAAAACCCCTTCTGGATAAATCTTAGCACTTTAATGAGAAATACTAAAGTAAATCTCTATGATGAAAACTAATCGATTAAAGTTAATATCTTTTATGAGACTGTGTCCACCATCACACACACAAATATATATTCTAGTATAAATGCATCCTCTCATTCTTGTAATTATGGGCCAGCACCGCCACCATACATCATCTGTTAGGCTTTTAGAGTATAAGCTTAGATCTCTGGATCTTACATGAGCAGGGTGAAGGCTTTTTGAATGGCTTCTTCTTCATAACCGTATTTCAAAAAGATATCATCAGATAGTTTGTATTAAGCCACCATCATTCTTGTCATCATTTCTTCATCATCATTTGGGTCATCCATTCCCTATTTCTTCATTAACTCCATAATCTGAACCTTCTTTATTTCCTCTTGATAGTAGAAAATCTCTTTAGCTTTCTCGTGTTCAATAGTTGGGATGTCCCCTGAGTTTTACATTCCGGTAACTATTGGCATAATCTCCATTGATGTTGCTGGGTTGGTCATATAAAATTGAGTAGTATGCTGAAGGAAATACTCATCTATTGTAAGCACCTAGCATACCTAAGACATTATATCTGACATCAAGTTCTCCTCACTGATAACATAGTTCTTAACTACTTCTGCATAGAGTAAATCGTTGCCATCCTTTAAGTATTGTCTTCTATTCTCAACCATCTTTTACTTTCTTTCACCAAGGTTGGCAAATATGTACTTGTAAGCAACGCTCATAATCTCCTTAAATTGCAAAAACTCGATCATTCCTGAAAAATTCTTTGAGATCTTCCCTACGAGGTGTTTCAACTCTGCCTCTATAGTAGGATCAACTACTACCGGTTCGTGGTGGTGATGATGATGGTGGCCTTGTCCATCTCCATGATCATGATTGCAGCATCCTTCGTGTTTATGTTCTTCTTCAGACATTTCAATATTAATATGTTTTTAGTAGCTAATATTAAATGTTCTTATATTATTAGATTGTATATCAGTTAGATGGGGTTTTGGGGTTTTGGGGTTTTGGGGTTTTGGGG